GCTCTGTATAAAGAAGGCTTTTGTCTCTGCTGCAGCTCAGAGCAGTCAAGTAGCTACAGGTAATTTGATATAAGGAGCAAAATAAACCTTTAATATGTTCACTTTATTTTCCCAATGAACAGCACCATTGTAAGCAGTATCAATATGAGTCGTGTTGCCATGTGTTACTTCTCCCACATCTTTCAAAGGTGTTGGAAGGGGAGCTTGTTTGTGTAGTGAGCAGTGTCCCTGGTGTTTGCTTCTGTATCTTGTTTCAACACCCTGCAGACAAAGAACTACTTCTCCCTGGTGCGGTCCTAGGGATATTTTCTCATTGAAAACAGTGATTTTCACCACAAACACAAGGGTATCAGCTGGGATCAAATCCTGAGTTACTTGTGAAAATACTGTTTTCACACATGGCTGCTCATAGAGTCAATAGTAGCTGGGTCACACGGAGTCCTGGATAACACTGGATCTGGTATGTTTGGTCTCTCTTGGTCCTAGAGGAATTTTACCCTGTTTATTCTTTCCCTAGATCCACAGTTCTGAAGAGCCTGGTGTCAGGTTAATTTAGCGTTTCAATTCCTCACGTCGAGCCAATTCATTTCAGGGGTGACTTTGTACTTTCCCTTCCTGAGGAAATCTGTCACCAATGGGACGTTTGCACACAGATTGCACCTTGCAACAGTCGGAAGATCCCGAGTGTTATTTCTGGTTACACTTGGCTTGCTGGGGATAGGAAATGCAGAGAGAACCCAGGGGGGTGATTCTGTGATGATCCTGTGAGGCTGAACTGCAGTGATTACCCAGCTGCTCCCTGCAAAGGTGTGTGGGATCCCAAGCCCATCTGAGTTTCCCATGATCATAGAATCCCAGTCTGGTTTGGATTGGAAGGACCTTAAATCTCATCCAGTTCCAATGCCTGCCATGGGCAGGGACACCTCCTAACTGCCATTCTAAATTTACCTATAGGTGACTTGCTTCCCTTTCTCCTCTTTAAAAGGCAATTCTAGCACTTGTATTTCCCTTTACTTGAGCCTGTTGATCCCACATCCCCATCATGGCAGGGGGTTGGAACTGGATGAGCTTTAAAGTTGCATCCAACCCAGCCCAGTCTGGGATTCAATGATTCATCTCCTGGAGCTCTTTGATTTTTGCTAGAATCCTCTTGCAAGAAAAAGAAGGGAAATGGGATATCTGGACCTAATGGGAAGAAGACCTTATCCTTCTTTATTCCATGGATGGGCTGAGGCAGGCCCTCGAGACAGTGATATGAGCTCCCAGGGAAATATGCACTATTGCTTCTAGGAGTGATGGAGGGAGCATGAGCATCAGATCGCTCTGGCTCCGTGATGGCTGCTGCTCTGAAAAGGATGCTTTGGATGCAACGAATTCACACACGTCGAGGCAGCGTGTGCAGGGTGGGGAGTGCTGGGACAGCGCTGAGTGAGGCACCAGCCCAGTTAGGACCAGTTCGAGCAGGAGCCATGTGCGCTGCTGCAAATCATTGAACAGCGAAAGCCAAGTCCAGATGCAAGTGCCCAAACAGCTGAATGGAACAGCAGCAATCAGAGATGTGCAGCAGGCAGAGAAAGGAGAACAGAGAAACGGGGCCCTCCTGCAACCTGGCCTGGGATGAGCTTCTGGCTGGGGCTTGTGCTGGTGTTGTTCCCCTCCATCTTCACCTAGGAGCTGGTCTCCCCACACACCTTCATGTGGTCGGGTCCTTCCCCTCCCTGAGTCCTGCCCCCCCATTTCTAGCTGTCTCACAGCAGCACGCAGCACGCAGTCCATGCCCTCTCCCTTCATCACTCCAAACACCCTCTGCTCTTGAATTCCCTTTTTTTTTCCTCTGTGAACAGCATTTGGGGACACAGATTGACTGAAAGCTGTGATTCAGTATAAGCAGCACCATAAATAGACACCAAATGACCCAACAGGAGCCTGGTACCCACTGATGGATTGAAAACACTTTTCTCACTCCTTCCCATGATAAAAAGAAGCCACCTGCTTTTGCACACCCTCAACAAGCACTGCCTGATAGGGCTCTGCAGCAAACTCCCCATTCCCTTGCTCCAAAGCTCCTCTTCTACCCACCTTCAAGCCCTTGACACCCATGCCGTGTCCGTATCTCCTCCAATGAACTGCTGCTGAACAGCGTCTCCCTCCTCATCTTCAATGTGAGTTTGGTTCTCTGCTGTGTCACTGGAGGGGGTTGTAAACTGCCAGGGTTGTGTTGTTTTAGTGGAAGTAATATCCCTCATCTTCCAGACTCCTCCTCCCTTGTCTTATCTGTTCTATCTGTATCTCTCTAATAAGGAGATCTTGTCATCTCTCAGGAGGTAGCTGATAAACCGGATGGAATGCTCAGTCCCTTCATGTAGAACCACTGATGCCAGCAACTTCACCCTGGTCACACGGGCACAGTCCTCGTTCATCCCTGAGACTTTTTACACCTTCCTTCCTATTATCGTTAGCAATTCCCTAGCAGAAGGAACTGTGAGGTTAAAATGGGAACAAAACCGGGTGTTTGGGATTTTTGGTGACCCTGAGCCTGGCTAAACTCAGAAAAGATCCACTTTCCATTGCTTGATTTCACAAGAAAGGCTTCAAGAGAACAGCCCTTTCACTGCTTCTTCACCCCTTCTTTGTCATTAAAATAAGAGATGCTTAACAAGTCATCCACTCCTTTTATTCCTGCCCTGTAAGGCAGGAACTACATGCGTTTCCATGAACTACAAAGCACCTAAGGGAAAGAAGGCTCTCCAGAAAGGCTCGTTTTCTTTAGGTTTCTACCTAAAGCATCTTCTAAAGGAGAGTCAGCAGTACAGCTGGGACACATCAAGCCTGCCAGGAAAGAAAAGCAATTGGCAGAGACCACTGCACAGTCCAGATGATCCCATATTCCTGGGTTTAAATGCATGCTCCCCCCCCTCCAGAAGTTCAAGGGTATTGAGATCAGATGTTTTGATTGACCTCATTATATACAGAGGAACCATCTGCAAAAGCTCAGATCTGGCTCCAGGCTTCTTCCAAGTCCAGGTCTGGGATTTTGATTTGAACCTCTGCCTAACTCATTCAGCCTCTGCCAGGGCACAATGTAAGCGTGGTGCTGGATACCAAGAATCCTTTTGCTAACAGAAGTACTGGACCAGATCGTCAGCAGAGCTCAGCTCTGATTCTAAACGCCTGTTTCTGGCCTGATGTGCCCGCCATCCTAGCGCTTCTCTGCACACCCTACCTGCTCCTCCCTTGCCTATTTTACACCTAGCTGCCACACTAAGGAACCTATCTGAATGTCTACTAATAGAGTATACTGCTTGAAAAGCAGTAGTGATGCGTATATGGGCTGAATCTACTTGTAAAGGTACGTGGCAATCGATCCCTTTCAAACTGAATATGGGAGATCAACAGATCCAGCACACTCCCAGATTCCCTGTAGGTCTTGCACAGGCAAAACATCTCATACACAGCCAGCAGCCATGACTAGAAGCCTTTTCTCTTTGCTTTATTCCTAGGAAAAGAGAATTGCATCTTGGAGATCCCACTGACAGCCATCCTCCCTTAACAACTTGCTTGACTCAACGCAGGCCATGCTCTTGAGACTTGTTAAGGGAGGGGTGGGAAAGACATCTCTACCCTGTTCTCTTCCTTCCTCCTTTCTTTAATCAAAGAAAGAAAACAGGGAAAGAAAATAGAAGAAGAGGAGGAGGGGAAGCAATAGCCCCCTCCTCCCCGCTCCTTGGCTTTCTCCTCTATCTCCCTGGCTGTCGGATGCTCCGACATTCCTTGCACGTAAGTGTTTTGCTTCAAAAGTTCGAGGAAGAGAGGGAGAAAGAGAAGCCGCATTGCACAGTCCCTGTTGATAAGGTTCAAAGCAGGCAGAGACGCCTCAGAAGCACATGCAGTCTCTGCCTCTCTCCGTGTTACAAGAGAAAAAAGAGGAGCTAAATTCCATGGCAGACTCTGCTTTCTCCTGCCGCTGTTATCTTCCCTTGCACACGGGCTGGAGGTAGGGAGGAGATAGGAACTGTCCTGTTTGCCTTGCAGTTTCTCACTACCCTCAGCCCCCTTTGAAATGTTGTGTCTAAGCTGCTTTTGCACTCCTGGTTTTCAGTGGCAGAAGGAAAGAAGGAATAACGCATGGACACGCTTGTGCGCTGAGACCTTGTTTAAAGCCTTGTAAAGCTTCCCAGAGGCTGCGTTGAGCCCAGCTGAGGTTACTCAAGGAAAAGCCATGCCAAAAGTCATCCTTGCTGTTCATATTTCCCCAACTTTGTCATTATCTGACTTTCCCCTTCCTCTACCCCTTCATAAATCCCTCTCATTCTCCCTCCCTGCTTAGCATTGGAGCAGCGAGGAAACATCACTAAGTCATCACCACATTACTCAGCTGGGGAACCCAGCCAAGAATGCTCTGGCCTAGCAAAATGGTCCCAGCCATCTGTCTGTCTGTCGTGATGGAGGAGAAACAAGCACACAGAGAAGAATCAACACACACGTTTATTGAAAAGAAGGAAACCCAAGAGCCATGGAAGTCAGGAAATAGCGACCAGAACCAGCAGTCACAGGGAATACTGAGGTGGAGTTTCAGTCGCTTCACTGTGATATTTCAGGTGAGCCCAGTGAGCTAAAAGCCTTCCCTTTATTGCCTTCAAAGGGGAATTAAAATAGCCAAGAGATTAGTGGATGGAAGTCAGTAAAAATTAAAGAGCTCATAAGACTGGCTCCTCACTTCCCATCTAATAGGAGCATCGATCTGCAGCGTCCCTGCAAGGGCAACTTGGTCCAGCTGGCACATGGGTTTAACTTATGCTTTCCCTTTGAAGTGATGGGGACTCAGGTGTTGGGTGGCCACCTTGGGCCCTACAAGTGAACCATATCAGCTCCTGCCCCCGTGAGGAGCCTCCCCCCTCACAGGTGAGGTACATGGATCATTGGAGCTGGTGTTTATAACTGGCCAAGCAAAGCCCTGCCTCCATCTCCTTCTCTCTTCATAAGTGATGTAAAGTCTGTTGGGAGTAATGCAGGTCTTTCTAGCTATGTGGGGTGGGCTTCTGCTTGCGTGGTCCAGCTTATGGTAAACAAGGCTTTGAGTGTCTCATCCCACTGTGAGTGATGAGGACAGAGCTTCAGTCCCTCTTGGAACTGTGAAGAGTTCTTTGAAGTTTGCATCCTGAATGTCTTCTTGCTGTTTCTGTGCCCTTCAGCTGAAGAGGAGGCCACAAAGGAGGCTGCAGGTATGAGGTGGGGGCTGGATATGAGGGGACAGAGAGGATTTACTTCTGCAGTGAGCATCAGTATGTTTATCTCTTTTCTTACTTTTGTATTGACTGCCTGAGATCAGTTAGCATCTCTGAAGTGGCTTTTGAGGAGCACACAAAATGGGTTTGTCAAAATAGGAATGGGAAGAAAGGCCCTCAGTGTTATCAGTGTTTGCTAGTGCAAGCTGGTGAGGGAAGAAAAAACCCTGTCTTAATCCCAGGCTGTTCACTATATCCAGATTGTCACAGAGGTAACAATTTATACCAGGCCTGGAGAACTCCTTCCTATGCAGTGATGGAGATTATTGCCATGCACAGTCACTCCAGGGGGGCACTGGAACCTGCAGGCTGTTTTTAGCCTGTTGTAACCGCCAGCAGAGCAAGGAGGGAGCATCTTCAACTGAAAGCAGTAGAATAGTCCCTGCTGCTCCTACCTGCATTTGATCCCAGCACAGTGAAAAGCTCTTGTATCCCTTCCTGGGTGTCTTCCCGTCAAAAGACAGGAAATTTGGGAAAGCTCTGGTAAGTGAAGACCCAGTCCAGCTTCTCCTTGGCCTGAATGTCTAAAGATAAGAGCTCCATTCATTTAAAAGATAAGGGTAGTTTTACTGATGAGTTCTCTCCACGTTCAAGGCTTTCACCCATATGATGAAGGGTATCGTATGTGCTGGATGCCGATCAGTGCTTCCCTAACCTGCCCCAGAGGTGCTGCTGAGGGATGACTTTCATTGAAAAGAGCTTAGTAGAGAAAGCCTTAACTTTATAGAAAGCCTTTGAGGGGAGAGCAGTGGCTGCTCTTCCCAACAGGCCAGCTCCTGCTTCAGGAAGCTGACTGAGCCACATCTGTGATTATACCTTTGATTTAGCTGGGAAGATTCGTTTGACACCTGAACCATGAATTCCCAGTCTGAGGGTGAATATCCATGCTTTACGTCTTTAAAGTCATCCCCACGGCGCAGTGGGAGAGCTGGGTGCTCTGGGGTCTCTGTCCCTCCTAACCTGTGAACAGCCTTTGTATGGAGGACCGTTTATCTGCACCATGGTCAATCCCTGTTAGCAGTGTGATGCTGGGGAACTTCTTTGTGAATTACAGTTGTCAAGAAACAGCAGAGAAGTCATTTGCACACGGGGAAAAAGGGACAGAGAAAAGAGATGGGGATCTGCTGGGGATGGCTCTCTGCAGCCTATGGTGCCAGTTCTGCATTGCAGCAAGGGCATTTCACAGCCAGAGGAGCAATACTGCAGAGCAGCAGGATACCTGGGAAGTGAGTCTGAACTAATTTCTTGGGTACCTTCATCCCTTCCCTTTCCAATTCATAGGTACAGGAGTTGAGATGCAGACTTCAAACTTGTAATGGAGCCATTTGGGAACACATAAACCACAATTCAGGAACTAGTTCCTCTGACTGTGCAGTTAAAAGAAGCATTTAGGGCAGAAGCACAGCTTGCTATAGAACAATAAAGATTGGAGACTTGGACTTTGTCATCTGTTGTGAGTTCGCTGACCAAGCAGTGAAATAGCAATGAACTTTGCAGCAGGTAAAAGCAAACCCATGCTGATTACTGCTGTATATTCACAGCTGGCCTCACCCAGCCTATCTTGCCTGTGGGCATGAGCTCAGCCTGTTCTGCAAGTTGCTGAGCTCCTGATGCCAAACCCAAGCTCCTGCCCATCACATCTGAAGCAGCCATTTCAAAGTTAAACATCTAGGTCTGTTTTCAATTCTTCCTTCAAATACCAGCAGTGATTGTAGCACATTATGGACTAATCGCCTGTCAAATTTAATTTCTTCAGCTGAGGCTGCCTTAGAGGTGAGTGAATGAAAAGGGGAAAATACCCTGTCCATACCCACGTAATTATTATTTTTATGCTTGTGTAGTTACCTAAAAATCGGAGCTTTTCCTTAACCTTTTGCTTTAACTGCATGGCAAATACATTACTGTCAGAGTAGGGCATTATATGCAAAGTTTGATCTTCCAACAGGTCTTTATATCTAAACTGTAATGAACTGAATTTCATTAACATAACGCTCGGTTTAGCTAGGACTGAAGTCCTCCTCTGTACTTACTCCTGATTATCACAGACATTCAACATCATCTCCTGCAGGCTGTGTCTGTATTAGCTTCTGGAACAAGTCTTCTCGCTTTATGTATCTCAGGGTCCATCTGAAGGTCTTGAATGTAAAGGTTTTTTAATGCTCTTCAATCCTAGGAAGGAGCCTCGCTGATTTATGTGTGGTGTCCACCATAGGGTGACAACTACCACTGATACAGAGAGAACTGGGGCCTGGGTGTGGATTTGGGTGCAAAACTAAAAGCTAATCTCAAACCCAGGCTCTTATTCCCTATGGTTCTGAAAGGTAAATGTTGGATTTTGACAGGGGTTGGTGGAAGGATCTGGTCTGATGCAAACCCACAACACTGGGGGGAACCTTGGCCAAGTCTCTGTACAAAGCTTTGGTTGGAGTATCTTGTAGCTCAGCTGCTCCAACGCAGTCTGGGGTTGAGTGTGGCTTAGTCTTGGCCCTGAGACTGTTAAAGGGAGAAGGATGAGGATGGGGGAGAGCAGAGCCCTGAGGAGCTGGGTGGCAGAAGGGAAGCATAAAGCTAAGGAAACTGATTGAAATGAGAGAGGCAACATCAGAGGCTCCCAGTGAAGGTGCCAGCCCTGCAGCTGTCAGTAACTGCAGCATCTCTGGGACAGGGAATCTGTGCAGTGAATTTAAAGCTTCCAGTTCTCCCCATGGGCCAAGGAGGCATCAATGGCTTCTTTTATTTATTTATTAAGCCTCTTTAAGCACAAAGCTAGAAAATTCCTTGGGCAGAAACTGTGTGAAAGTGAGTTATTTTGGACAAATGCTGAAAAAGAGGCAAATGAAAACTAAGATTGTCTGTGAACCAGTGGGAAACCTTTGAAATCCTGTAATCATTCTTGATGTATCATCAGACAAAGTCCAGCTCTGACCTGCTAGTGTGCTTCATCTGCAGATTCCAACCTGGTTTGCAGCCTCCCTCTGCCTCCTTCACTATGGGAAAGCAGAAGAGAAGGTTGTTATGGCTGAGTGCCTCGGGTCACACAGGGACTGACAGAGCTACCACATCTCCTATTGCCCAGATGCAGTGGCATGTATTGACTTATCTCATGTGGATGTACCCTGTGGCTAATGAGAAGGAAGAATCATAGAATAGTTAGGATTAGAAAGGACCTTAAGATCATCCAGTTCTACCCCCCTTGCCATGGGCAGGGACACCTCCCACTAAACAGTGAACAGAAGTGATTCCCAGCTCCCAGAAGCATCCACCCCATTATGTCAGTGGCTGACTTACCCAGAAGTCTCCCATTTCATCCCTGCATACCCTGGTTGGCTCAATCTTCTCACCAGTGATTTCATCACTGCCTGTTGGGCTGAGCATCAGCATCATATCAACCCTTTGTGTAGCCAGAGGTGGGAATATTTGCTGGGGAATAGGGTGGGTGTTTCTGAAACAGGAATACTTGTAAAACCTGTGGTTATTTGTGGCAACCATCACCAGTAAATGAGTTAACCAATCTCTATTTGAGCTGTGTAGACATGGCCTGAAAGAAAGGCTTGAGGAAATCTTACCTGTGTCTGAACAACATGGTTTTGCAGCACACAGGTAAGCCCATGCACTGAGAGATAAGGAAAGGTTTTACTCTCCTGTTGGCAAATAGCTGGGAGTTCAAAGTCTCTGCTGGACCCACACTTTTCCTAGGTCCACACTGCTTCTGTGTGCAGCTCATCAGCACGGGGGAGCGTTGCTGTCCCCTCCTCAAACGCACTGAAAACTCCCTTCTTGGCATCACAAAGAGGCTTTTAAGATGCCCAGAGCTGGTTCTGCTCTACCAGGTCTGTCACCTTTGTTGAAACCTGTACTTTTCATGTGGAGTAACTGGCTATGGGGCTTAGGGCTTTGAGCAGATGAGTGTGGCAGGGTTTGGGAGGCAGGGGCTGCAGCAGTGAAGGCAGTGGGTGCTGGTGAAACACTAAGTGTGCCCACAGAAAAACAGCATTCCCTTCTCCCTGTTTTTCCCATTTCACTACTTGCAAGAGCTGATTTTAATAGAGCTGACTTCAGAAAGGCAGCAGGCACAGCAAGCATGAAGGTCTGAGTATTGGCCTGGAAATAAGACAAATAAATAGCCTTGGAAGGATGCTATCTTGCTGTCTCTCCAGCCCCTTCCCTCTCTAGGGAATTGCTGCTCCTCGTGCAAATTGGTTTTACTGCTGGACCTTGCTTCCCCTCCCTATCCCATATCCACCCCAGTCTCTGTGGTCCTCTCCATAAGCCTGATCTCCAGGGCAGACCACAGCCACCTCCTGAATCCACATCCAGAGTCAGCCTGGTGCCCCCCTCATCCCCGTATCCCAATGTCTTCAGGCTGTGCAGGAGCCACAGTTTCTGCTGGTAGGTCTGCAAGGTGGACAGTCGGGGATGTGGATCTCACAACAGAAGATACCTGTTTCCCCCAATGTGGACATATCCAGTGCCTGTTTTCTTTTGGCTAAGGGCCTCTGCAGGCTTAGAGCCAGCCGGTGGGAAACAGGAGATAATGGGAGCTTGGGTGGAATCTGTGCTGGCTCAATCCAGCCCTTTTAATGTGTCCACAGAAACCCTTTATTTTTTCAAAAGGGATGCAGAAAACAAGGGATGATTTTTCCATTGTTCTGCACATTACTGGCAATAGAGATGGAAAATATTCTCAGCCAAGCCAAAAGCTGCTCAACACTTTAGGGAATAGGGAGGTGTAAAAGTTGTCTGCCAGCTGCTTTATCCCTTCTTCCTGCCTTTTAGCCAAAGGATGAGGTTTATTGTGCAGCCAACAATGGGATGCCTCACCTGCATCTCCTGCTCCCCGCCATGCAGTCCTCTTTGCACAACACCGCTGCTTTGGGGAGCTAAACCAGCAGAGAATTACTCACTTCTGTAGGGTTACTTCTCCTATCCTATTGCACTATGATTAGAAGTATTCCCCCCATAAGATAATAGGCTGCAGGGAGGTCTCTTTGGGTGTGCATGATGTGTTCAGCACAAAGGCACTTTTCACGCTGCTTCCCTTGGCTCCTCTGAGAGGTCCATCCTGATGAAGTGGCTGAGGGTCAGGCTGGAAGGCAGCAAATAGGAGAACAACCATCAAGCCAGTGGCTTAGAAGGGTTCAAGCTCCTGCATATTCTGGTGATGGAAGGACCCGTAATCAGCTCAGAGAGGAATTGCTCTGGAGAAATCCAAGCTTGGAGGGTAAATTGGTGTCAACAGTTCCATCGTCAACAGGGATGGACCCTCTGAACCCACCCATTCACCTCTGCAGGAAAACTGGCTCCCAAAAGGCTAGCGCAAAAGGAAAGGGAGGGTGGGGATGCTCTTTATACGAGCCTGCATCCTGTGTGAGAGTAAGAGAAACGCCCATTAACTTCAAAGCCTGGCTTGTTTGTGTCTTCCTTTGAGAGGAGACAGCCCCAAGGAAGCATCTTTATTTAGAGGGCTCCAGAGAGACATTCTGTACCCAGCAGAGAGGAGAGGATCAATGGGCCAGGAACCAGGGAGGCAGCTTTCCTGCTAGTGCTAGCACCGGTGTTAGGTGTGGCTGGGTCTTGCATGGGGAAGGTTTTGGGGCCGTTTGCGGAAGAACTGGGAAAAGTTGCCTCAAATGCATTATAATGAATAATTCCTGCCAGCCCCCAGGAGAGGAGGGGGGATGACACTCAGCTATTTCAATTGATACCTAATAGGTCTTTTTCCATCTCTGATTTCTATGATGTGCTGTACACAAAGCAAGGAGCAGCAGCTAAAATCGATGCACAGCCCGAGCCAAGCAGGGAAGTTTTAATCAATCTGAGGAGCCGTTTATTGTGAGGATCCAACAAAGTGACAGAGATTATCACTGCTACACATGAAATAGGAACATGGGCAGCAAAAAGGGAGCATTGAGTACTTGCTTTGTAGGGCCTGAAAAGTGTATCTGTTGCCTCTGTCTTGGATTTAATAGTGGCATAGCAAGAGTGAATAACTTGGGCAGGGGGGGTGGAAAGAGTGTATGAGTAAATCCCAGCTACTGATCAATACTGGATTTAGAACAGGAATGGGGTTTGCTTCCCTAAGCTTGGGAAGAAGAGGAGAGCTTAGTCCCTAAGGTAAATGATGTTTTCCGTTGTCGCATCTGGGTGAAACACTTGTGGCAGGAGGGGCAGCCTGTATGAAAGCAGGTCTTTGGGACATTTAAGAAAGAGCAAATACATATCCTATGCATCCATCTGATCTGCAAGTGAGAACTGGCCATTCCTCTTTCCCTCAGCAGGGTTTTGAATAGAGACTCAATCCATTTGCTGGTAGGTGGGAGCAAACTTGTCTCTTCATCCCTACATAACCCAGTGGCCACTGCAGCTGCAGCCACCTTGACATTCAATTGCTGAAGAGCAAAGATGTTCCAGGGCTTTTTCAGTGCCTTGGGTCTGTCTTTAGCTGCTCCTGAGGCTGCCTTGCTGGAGCTGGCAATTATCATGTTATTGGTACCCAAGTGATGTAGTTTAA